CCAAGCTCAGAGAACCCCAAGGACTCCACAAAACAAATGCATACATAACATAATTCTCCCACATGTAGGTTTCCAAACTCTAGAAAATAAGAACAGAGCGCAAGGACTCCACAAAACAAATGCATACATAACATAATTCTCCCACATGTAGGTTTCCAAACTCTAGAAAATAAGAACAGAGCGGAGAAACTGATTTGTATTTTCTAAGGAAATCCACACAAAAAATTCATTTTCACTATGCATGAAAGTGCTTAACAGCCAGCACTGCATAGGTTTCCAGATCAGATGGCTGTTTTCAGATTCCTTCATTTCCCAGGGCCATTCAACGTTGTCAGTAAACAGTAAAATCCAGTTTTTTTCCTCTCTCATTAGCTCCATTTGCATTCACCAACAAACTTCCTGAAATGGTGGCTGAAAACATCATATAGGAGCTTTGTTGTTGTTGATGTTGATGGAAACAAGCAACAAAATGCTTTAAAGATTTCATCTCTTCCACCTTATGGAGATTCTCTCTTATAATTCCGAGTACATAAAGTTTGCATCTTCCCAAAGATTATTCCTCCTCTGGTGTTGTTCTTGTTGTTTTTTCAGTTTCCTTTTCTCTTCTTCAAGACCCTCTCAAGTTCCAGGGCAGAAGAGCTTTGAGATCAGGTTCAGAATCCTTTGTTGGAGATTCCATTTGTCCCCAATCCTGCGTAGCTGCAAAGCACACTCCGAAACTGTAAAATACAGAAGCACATTATTGCCAGTTTGCACTGAATATGCTGATGTAATTTTAAGTGTTTATTTCAGCCTCCCTGTTGCAAAGACAGCCCTCCTGACTTAGAATGTTCTGTTGTGCATTGACAGAATTCCTGTGGGATTCCCCATTCAGTTAAATGGAGGGGGATCAATGGATGATGCGTAGCCTCCATTGGTTAAATTAAGAAAGAGAGCCTTCAGGCAGGTGTGCCTAGGACTCAGGCTATAGTAGAGTTTCTCAACCTGGGCATCTTTAAGATGTGTGGACTTCAACTCCCAGAATTTCCCAGCCAGCCAAACACTGCACTAGATACTCTGGCCCACACATCTTAAAGTTGTCAGTGTTGAGAAACATGGGTCTATAGGGTCCTTCACCTTGAGTGTGCATATGAAATGAATCACTGCTATTGATATGTTTCTGCTGAACGTACCTTTTAAAAATTTTTACAAAGTAGAAGACAGTCATCAAAATGACACCCCATACACTTCCTTATGTTGGATTAGAGATCACTTTAACAAAAAAAAGGGGGGGGCAGGCTAGAAGTTGGAGACAGACAGGAAACAGCCCTGAAACAGTAAGAGAAACAGTGACAGGGCTGAGCAGAAATTATGCTAATATCAACTAAGAGGGGGCAGAGTTGGGTTCTACATGCAGAAGATCCCATGTTTTATCCTGGCATCTCCTGTTCAAGAGATGAAACAGGAGAAGATCAGGAAGAGCTCCACAAAAAATCCTTGAGGGCTACTGGCAGAGCAGACATCACTGGGTTGGGAACAATCTCTCTAAGGAACTTCCTATGCCCTGAAAATCCTGCAAGTTTCCACAGAGATAGAATTTCCCATTCCCTTCAGTGGAAGCTGCAGTTCTTTCTCTCCCCCTGCAAGAAACAATAAAGCCTTTGCAAGCAGACTTGAGATCGTCCCTACTCTCAGGCTGTTGGGTCTTGAAAACTGGCCACTACAGACACAAGCTGATGGGGGGAAACCACCCCTTAGAATAACGTCTCTACAGATCATCAAATGTCCTATGCAGTGTTCCTCTAAAATGGTGTGCTGCAAGTGTATGGGGCTACCATGAGTGCTACAATGGGAATTGACCTCTAAGATGTTCTCAGAACACACGGGAGACCTGCTCTAATGTCCTTCTACCATGTTGAACTTTATCCCTTTCTGAATTTTTCTTTCTAGAGTTTTCCTGCAGGTGCAAGGTCCGCTTTTCAGATCATCAAATGCTGATCCATTGGTTGAAACATGAATTGACTGACCGGCTTGTTGGCCGAGCCGGAGCCTGAGCCCCAAGCCACCCAGCCAGCTTTCATGCCTAAGGCAGGACTAGAACTCACAGCCTCCTGCTTTCTAGCCTGGAGCCTTCACCACTAATAAAATGGTCTTCACATCTCTGCTAAATCCCCCTTCCTGAGAGGCTCAGGGCCCCAGCTCCCAGTGAGCCCAGCAGCTCTAAAAGCCTGAATCTTGAGCCAGCAGGTGATCCATAGCAACCGGCTGGGCTATCACCTGTTTCTCCAGGCCTTGGTGATCTTGGGAGAGAAGACGACAGGGAAAGAGGAAAAGGAGAAGAGACCCACTGGGTGAGAATTCTACACTATGCAGTTGAGTTGACAGATTCGAAGATTAGGTTTGGATCGCAGACTCAGACATGTCCTGGGAACGTTCAGGCACCGTCCTCACGCAGAGGGGCGAATTCAAGAATCACGAGCAGATCCTTCAGAGGAGAAGAAACTGCCTGGCTCGGGGTGGGAGGAACCGGGTCGGGGCGATGCCCATCCACGATCGATCCACTTCGCTAAGAAGGGCTGCCTCTCGGCCAGTTAACCCACCCGCTCAGCCTGAGATCGCCCGACGCTCTGGGGCCCCATCTGGAGCGCAGGGACACGAACCCAAGAGGCGCCTCGCCGGGCCAGGCCCGCCCGGCTAGAAGCCATCGGAG